CAAAGAGTATGGTCACAAAATGATCATAAATTAATTCGACATGTCACATCTCCAATCAATATACCAATAATCTCACTCATGTGCACATCTATCATTAGCCATTGAAGGACATACAACTCTCAACAATGGGAGTGCATACCGAAGGACATACAGCTCTCAACGGTATGGCCTTTCATTAGGACTTAGGGAGATTGCCTCATAAGGCACCGTCGAAGGACATACAACTCACATCGACGGGGACAACCGTTCGAAGGACATACAGCTCACATCGAAGGTTACACCAATTCACAAGCACGCATTGATCATACCAACCCAACAACAAATAAGTTATTTACGGCATAGCAAATTTTCAAATAAAACCCACCTAGAAATCGAGGTAGAAAATCACACACGAAGCAGGTACGTAGGATGAGGGCTCGACTCCTCAAACACCCTTCTTCAGGAATCTACAAGCTATCTGACGGTCGGAATGAACGGAATCTCGGTACCCTCGGACGTTCGTAACTTGAACCCGACAGCAAACGAGTTGTTGTTCCTCGAACGATGACTGCAGCGAGGGTCAATGATCAGAAGGTTGACGGCAAACAGGACTAGCGGGAACTCGAAAGCTTCAAACTTCGATGTGCAATGGCGGGCAAGGGATCTGCAGCACTCCTCGGGATTGACGACTGCTCCCTGTTAGGGCCTCACGGAGACACTAGAACTCAACGGCGAACGAAATACTGCAGAGCATTCGTTGACAGGAGGCTCGCCGGAGAAGATGGACCCGCCGTCGGGTTGCTGCACGTGATGGGGCTGGCGGCCAAAAGAGGAATGGCTGGAAGCAATTTTCTGAAATAATCGATAGCTAAGGTCTGTGTTTACGAGAGGGAGTGATGAGAGGGTTCTCAATCTTCTTCAACGATGGGAGACTCCTCTGGCGAGATATAAGAGATCGAGGAGAATGATTGTGCAACGTGCGAGATAATATCACAGAAATATCGCAACTGGATTTGAAGGGGTGAAGAGGACGACTTGGTCGCTTAGGGGAGGAGAAGAAGATAAGAATCTGCTCATTTAAATCTTGTTGGGCCTCATTTTTAATACTCAAATGGGTTACTAAGAAAAATATTATTTGGGCCAAGGCTTAAGCCACCAATTGGGTCAATTTAATAATAGAATTTGGGCAAACAATATTTAACTAATTGGGCTAGAGAAAATGGTCCCAAAATGTCATGGAAATTACCCAAATTCGCCTGGTTTCTCTCAGGCTCGACTCAACAATTAATCGAGACTCGGTTCGACGCGGCATAAATTTAAATAATACCGGCTAATACATAATACACACAATATTTTAAAATAATAATATTGATAATAAAAATATGCATATGGACAAATAATTACAATTTGACAAATAATAATATTTAGACATTCAATAATAATAATATTCACATTAGCAGATAATGATAATGGTAAGGGGAACAAATAGTAATAAGGAAAATAAATAATAACTCCACTAATCCACAATCGAACGGGGTATTACACTCAGTCTTTTTTCATAGGTTTCTAGTGAACCTATTAATTTTGTTACTGACAAATGATCCAAATCTTTAGTTTCTTCTGTCGTCGTGACAATAGGATCATATTTGGCTGGTAGAGTAATTAGAATTTTTTCTACCACCCTTTTGTCAGTAATATTTTCTCCATATGCTTTTAATTGATTTACTACTTCTCTTAATCGAGTGTAGTAATCTTTTACGGTCTCAGATTCTTTTATCTTCATATTTTCCAAATCTCTTCTTAGAGTTTGTAATTTCAGATGACGTACCTTGTCACTACCCTGGTATTCTTCCTTGAGAGTATCCCATGCCTCCTTTGATGTTTGTGCTCCCCTAATTCGTGGAAACAGGGACTCTGCCATGGCCATTTGTAGTGTGAAAAGAGCCAAACTGTCCTTTTCTTTCTCCCGGTCGAATTTTTCTTCGTCCGTCGTAGACATAGTAGATATATCATCGGGGATAGTATACCCGTTCTCGACAATATTCCATAGGCCTTGAGACATAAAATATGTCCTCATTTTAATGGCCCAATAATTATAGTTTTGGCCAGAAAAAATAGGAATTGCTATTTGATGGGTATTTTGGGAAGTGGCCATAATAAAAATTTAGAAGGCTATATGAAAGTAAGAGGATATGTGAAAGTAGGGTATTTGAACAAGATATGTAAAAATAGGAGGATATTGGAAAATAATTTCGCCCAGTTATTAATTCAACCGGGCTCTGATACCACTGTTGGTATCTCAAAAAATAACAATATTTATATTGAAATGAGAACAGAGAATAGATATGGAAACAGAGAATAGTACTACCTCCTATTTTTAATATATGTCGTTTTGAGAAGTTACACACTAATTAAAAATATTTTTTTTGTCAATAATAACCTTATTTAATGAAGATAGAGATGAATGTTTTGAGAAAAAGTGAAGAGTGAATATGAAAAGACGTAATGTATTTATTGGCTAAATGAGAGTAATAATGGAAAAATATGGACAAAAGATCTAAAACGACATTTATTTGGCAAATAGTTGAAAAGGCTAAAATGACATTTAAAAAAAATATGAGGGAGTATAAAATTAGTTTCTTACTTTCTTGTTATATTTTTCTTCTTCACACAATTCCACAAAACACATTACATGTATTTATAGGAATGCTAACCGATGCTAACAGGCCTTATCGGGAAACTTCATGACATTTCTTACAATTAATTATCATTAGATCAATCTAGATCTTCTTAATTATTAAGAGCAACAATAATTTTATGTAGACTAAAATCTTCTTTTATGAGCATCAATATTTAATATATACTCAAATTGTTGTAAAAATGGCAAAATCAAAATACCTCCATTCAAAGAACCACCACCGTTTCTTAAACGCTTACTAGATTATAAAGGAGATGGATACTCAAAAGACATTTTATACAAAAGATACGACAATACAATAGCATGTTTGCTTTTACATCTGTGGAAGGAAATATTGACAAAAATATCAATAAAGGAGAAGGCCAATTAGGCTACAATTTTCAAATAAGCCCAAGCATTTAGGGGGCGATTGTTTATAGTTTCAACAGTAAAAAAAATCAATTAAAATTCAAATTTAACTCAACTTTCACCCAACTCTACTACCTCTCATATTATCAATATAATTAAATAATATCAATCAATCATTTTTATACATCACATCAACTTTAATTAACTATTCATCCACTCACATAATTTTAACTAATCATCACTTCCAATCATTTTTCTCCTACTTTACATCAAATTAACTGTAATTATTTTATTTAAATATTATTTTAATACATCAACTAACAACTAATCATTCCACTTTTTTCAAAGTTAACTATAGTTAAAAAAACAAACCAAATAAAAATTAGTTGAATTCATAAACAATCACACCCTTAACGTTCAGGGGTCCTAGTAAAACCGGTGCGTATAAACGCAGAAACTTCACAGAACTATTGTTTTGGAAGGCAAAGAAACAAATAAAATGCCGCGTAGGATCAGGAACGTGGAAGGTCACACACAGGTTATAAATTAAGTTGAATAAATAATCTGACCGCCGGCAGTCGGGCACGCTGAACAGTCACCGGTTTCCACTCATATGAGATACTCCCTCCGTCCCATTGAAAGTGTCACCTTGGACTCCGTACCATTTTGTTTGATCATTCGTCTTAATCAAAATTTTTGCATAAATATTATTTATTTTTTTATAACTTATCTTATCATCCGAGATACTTCAAATATACTTTATTTATTTCCACACACAGGTCACACACAGGTTATAAATTAATTATGAAATAAAAATATACATGTTTATTGAAATTGTGTCAATATATATAAGTAAAACCTTTAATATAATTATTTTCTTTTTCCCTCCATTTTCTATATTTTTTTTTTTTTTGCATTACTAAAGTATTTATATTTCTTTTATGTTTT